TTTTTCCGGAAACAGGGATTGAACTCAGGCTCTTGTGCTTGCCAGGGAAGCACTTATTCCACTGAGCCATCTCCCTGGCCCCTGGACTTCACTTTTTTCAGTGCATTTTCTCTGAATCTGTATTAAGAACAGCTTTTCTGGGAGGCTGAGGCAAAAGTATAACACATTCAAGCCCAGCCTAGGAAATTTAGTGACTTAGCAAGACACTGTTTCATAACAAAAATTTAAAAAGAGCTAATGATGTACAAGGTGTAAAGGCTCTGGATTCAATACCCCATACCTCGGAACAGCAGCAGCAGCTTCTACACAGGCACAACGGCACAGCCCTTTTGTAATCCCACACTACAAGAGGAACTGTTATAACCTCACCCCAGCCACTCTGCCTTTCTGCTCACAGACCCGCGTGTGCACACTGCGATGCCACTGGCCAGAAGGACTTTGCCAGAACAGAACTGATGCCAGTGCAACGCCCCAGAACTGTGAGCTAAATAAACTTCCTTTCTGTATAAAAATCACTAAGCCTCAGGTATTTCACTGAAGCAGCAGAAAATGGAGAGCAGGTACCTTACATGCATTAACTACAAGTTCAGTTTACAGCCATATGAAGCAACTCAAGACGGTCCAGGTTAAAAGCTGGGATTTGAACCAGCTCCGGGGCCTGAGCTTCCCACTGGTACTGACGTCTATATCCCAAATGCACCCTTCAGATGCTCACTATGGCAATGAGCACATTCAACCCAAGAACCGCACTGCTTAGCACTTATTCAACAAAACTAAAGTCGCAAAGAGAGACAAAAGAGTCACTTGTAGGAAAACGAATATACCTTGAAACTATAATGCAAGAGAAACAAATCAGACACACAAGCTTAAATGTTGTATGGCTTCTCATATGTGAAACCCAAAAATAAAAGATAATAGGAAATAGGGAGATAGAGCCATCACAAATGGGAAGCAAACCAAGAGACTAGGAGTGAGGGGCGGGGATTAAAATGTGTTACACACATGTGCCAACTCCCTACGAAGAATGTAATCATTATGTACCACAAATATGTACCAATAAAAATTTAAAGTTTTAAAACCCACACACAAATGCTTTATTCATAACAGTCCAAGCCAGGAAACCACTGGGTAAATGGTTAAACAAACCACGCTCCATCCATACCATGAACTGCCACTCAGTCATAAAAAGACTGGAAAACCTAAGAACTGGAGAACCTAAGAACTTGCACGAGCCTCCAAAGAACTACAGTGAGTGAAAGAAAGCTAATCCCTAAAGGTTATTATAGGATCCTATTTATAGTATGTACTATATCATTGAAATGAAAAAATTACACAATTGGAGAAGAGACTAGTGGTTAAAAGGGGATTAGAGGAAAAAAAAAGGGGGGGATGAGAAGACACAGGGGATATAGCTCGGGGGAAGGCACTTGCCTGGCAAGCATGAGGTCCTGAGTTCGATGCCCAGTACCAGAAACAAACAAAAAGGGGTAAGACTAAAATGAGCTGTGGTTAGAAAAGGCAATAGGAGTGCCCCTGGCAGTAGAAATGTTCTGTATCTTGACTTCATCAGTGTCAATTTCCTGCTTATGCTATTGTGCTATGTAGTCTTTGAAAACATTATTATTCAGGGAAACAAGAGAAGCCAAGATTCATTTGTATTATTT